GATACATACTGAAGTTAAAAAAAAAATTGGCAGTATTTGGAAGTCAACTCCAAATTAAAAAGCTGCTTTCTGATCAGGAATGTAAAACTGGCACAATGCTGAAAATATAACTGGTTTCCAAGAAACGGGGAAGAGATAATTTTTTATGGATGAAAGAAACGCAGATACAGAGGAGAAACAATTCCCCCTGCAATACCTCCCTCCCCCCCATATGGCCAGTAGCCCAATTAGTCACAAGGAAAAGGCAAAGAGCAAAGCAACAGAAAGAACTGCTGTTGGCCAAAACGTTACTACAGTGATGAACAAAACATCATCAAAATACTGGAAACCTGGGGCTGGCCTGGTGGCGCACTGCTACAGTGCGCTGCTTGGGAGCACGGCGGCGCTCCCGCCGAGGGTTCGGATCCCACATACAGACCAGTTCCCGCTCACTGGCTGAGCGAGGGGCGGGCGCAGCACCGAGGGTTGCGATCCCGTTGCCGGTCCTGGTCCGGTGCGGGCGCGTAATAACTTCGTATAGCATACATTATACGAAGTTATCGACCCACCCACCCACTTCCATAGCCACCGTGTTGGGTGTTTCCCACAGTGTACTGTGAGCTCACCAGGACCTGAGCCAGGAGCCCAGAACAAAGGCGTGAGGAATGGGAGCCACTCTGTGCCATCTACGACACTGAGGGTTGCGGTCCGTTGCCGGACACGAAAAAAGACAAAAAGGAAAAAAACAAATACTGGAAACCTTAAGGAAAACTATACAGAAGATTTAATTATTCGTGACCACATCTAAGTACGTTTTCTTAAGAACCACTATTAATGGTGCTAAAAATGGACATGGATTACTGCTTTGGATTAGGAGTTATTAACTTTGGGCTATACAGGTTCTAGTTCAGGCTCTGGTTATTATTTTTGTGTGATAATCCTCGAGAAACTTCTCCATGGCTCCTAATGTCCCATCTCTAAAGTGAGAGAGTTGGACAAGAATATAGAGTTTTGAAAATTTATAATGGAAGAGAAATAATTAAACATGTAAACATCCACCTCATTAGATGACCTCTAGGGCCATGTTCTATAATCTGATGATTCTAGAAAAGGTTAGTCTTTATGCTGCATATGCAGTTCGATTTGTGAGGATTGCTGCCATGTAAAGAAAGCAGATTATTCACTTGGTTAAAAGCAGACATGAAAATTTGTTCTCTTATCCTTTCCCATGTCTGCCTTTTTAATTTTACTTATAGTTTTTTTTTTTTTTTTTTTTTTTTAAAGATGACCGGTAAGGGGATCTTAACCCTTGACTTGGTGTTGTCAGCACCACGCTCACCCAGTGAGCGAACCGGCCATCCCTATGTGGGATCCGAACCCGGGGCCTTGGTGTTATCAGCACCGCACTCTACCGAGTGAGCCACGGGCCGGCCCATTAATTTTACTTATAGTTTTAAAGGATTATTTTGTCTAATGGTCTACAGCCACCACCAACAAAAATACCTTGGTGCTTTCAGTGGTCCTTCTTGTCAGTATATCTGCCTCACCAAATTACAGAATTATCTGACTCATCGAGATGAAAACATATTACCCTCTAGACAGCAAATTGAAAAAAAAGCAATTTTCCCATCTCTGAGAAAGATAATTGATCTGATTTTGCTGTCAATGTTACCATCATTCACTCTAGCATCCTGGCTTGAAAACTTGAAATTATTTTTACTCTTCCCACCTCTCATCACCCACACAGTGTCACCAAGTCATAACGAATTTCCTTTAATAATGTCTCTTACATCAATCTCCTCTGCTACCACCTAAGTTCAGGTCTCTATTATCACTTAGATCTGGATGACTACAATATTCTCTTTTTCCCTTAATGACTGGTATGGGGTTTCTTTTAGTATAAAAGTAATACCTGCTCATTATAGGCAATTTGGAAATTGCAGGAAGGCAGATGGAGAATAATACCAGTGACCCACAAACCCTCTGCCCATGGATGATCATTCATTCTGACTCATTCCCTTCCACTCATTGTTCTATGTATATATTAATGCATTTTTATAGAAATAAGGATTGTAACATATTACACATTTATGATGTTTCATACTCATGAGTATTTTATTATGACATTAAATACTTTGAAAACCTAACTTTTTTTTAACTAATTTTCAATTGTTCATGTTTCATTGGTTTCTAATTTTTCTTGTTAGAAGTAAATGCTGCATTTACCACTCTTGTGCCACTGTTGGATTATTTCCTTAAAATCGATTCCTGAAAGTATAATTATAGGATCAAAGATTCTTGTAACATTTTATCAAGTTGCCCTCCATAATGGATACATATTATTTTACAGGCCCACCAGCAGTACATGAAAGTTCCAGTTCCCTACCCACTTGTTAGAGACTGAATATTATTACTTTTTAGAAATTAGGATGTAAACTTTATATCTCATCAATGCTTTGGTTAGCATGTCTTGTATATATTATTAGTGAGTCCAAACATGTTTACACAGATATTGGGCATTTGTGCCATGACACTAACTAGTCTCCATTCTGCTAAGAGGGGTAGCAAACTCAAATGCCTTTCAGGGGTCTACCATTTAGGTCTATGTGTGAAACCACAGTGGGAATTGGGAATGGCAGGGCCTGAGACAAATTGGAGAGTGTGTGCCCTGCCTAAGATTCCAAATGGAAAGATTTTAAATATACCACAATGGCCAAACAAAACATCTAATGGGGAAATTCATGTCCCGGTTCCCTGTTTGCTACCATGCTAGTGCCTTCCCTCTTCAATCCATTTCCCCCAGATTGCTGTCAGAATGATATTCCTAATACCTTCTTATTCAAAGCTATTCATAATGTGACTCCAAATCTTCTCAGAACCCTCCTATCTCTACTCTCTACTTCTGTCACACAGACCTCTTAGAAGATGGTGAGGTTCTTGAGGACAAGCACCCTGCCATGAAAGAGGCAGTGTAGCATAGTGTAAAAGTGAGAGCACTCGGGCATCAGCCAGTCCTGGGTCAAATCTTAACACCAACTTACTGTGTGACAACAGCTAAGTTACTTCACCTCACTAAGGCTCCATTCCCTCATCTGTAAAATGGTACTAACAGCACCTACTCCACAGGGTGGTTATGAGGATTCAGTAAGGTAAGATAAGCAAAGCACTTAATTTACTGCTTGGCACATAGCAGACATTCAAAAACTGATTAGAGTTATTAGAGTACTTGCACAGTTCCTAGCCCAGCATCTATCACAGTAGCTGGTGGAATGAAGAAAGAGACAGGGGTAATTCTAAGTAAAATATCTATAATAGTGCTTCACAAAGTGTGGTCCACAGACTATCTTACTGGGATCAGAATCATCTATAGGCTCTTATTAAATATGCAGATTCCTGAAACTGACTCCAGACCTGCCGAACCAGAATTTCTGCATATGGGACCCAGGAATCTATATTTCTTACAAACATTCCAGTTGACTGTGATCTAACTAAAGTTGAAGAACCAGTGGTTGCCATACTCATCCCAGTTATGGTGTACAATCTCCTGATCAGGCACTTGGCTTCCAGACCTACCCGACTAATGATGCTCTATTCCCCAGGGTCTGGAAGAGTTACCCACTGTCTGTGAAGTGAACTTGGTGAAAAAGTGATCCAGATGAATCTTCCTCTGATAACATATCAGCCTCCCTGCCTTCCCTAACCAAATATTATCACTGCCACTGTGAATCACCCATTATTACAAGAATTATTTGGGGATTAAAGATAAATGGAAATTATTATCAATAGTAATACTAATCACTAACACTTATTAATGACTTAAAATATGACAGGCATGCTAAGCAGTTTCTATTAAATTATATATCAAATTAATTTAATCCACATAACAACACCATGAGGTAGGTGCTATCATTACCTCCACCTCACAAATGGGAAAACCAAGTCACAGAGAGGCTAAGGAAGTTACCCAAGGTCAAAAAGATGGTAAATGACACAACAGAGATTTGAATCCAGACAATCTGACTCCAGAACTCAGGCTATTATCAAACTATGCTGAACTACTTCCCTAAATTAACTGCTATATGCCTGTTATTACTAATTTAAGATATATACAATGATATTAATATTGATTTCATTTAGTGTCTTTATTATTTCATTAAAGCAAATGTATTTATCACAAAAACCTCAAACCCTTTTGTTCCCATAATGTCTTAGGTTTTCCAGCCACAAATTCTAGTATGAGAATCTGCTGGAAACCAACTATATAACAGGTGGGGTAGTTCTGGTCTACTTCCATGTCTTTGGAGTCCAGCTTTCCAAGTAATGGTATAAATGAAATACATTTCAGTTACTTACTCTATCTTTATATTTCCCCATAGCAAATTTTAAAAATTATCCAAGAGTCAGAAGGCTCCGTAATGGAGGCTCCTCCTACTGCATGTTTAGATACAATATGTCCCCTACTCCAGAGAGAGAATGGAGCCCAGTGATATGAGATGGGCAAAGTATTCTGGGGACTTCTTAGACAGTATGTTTGGCCTGAGATACAACATTTTAAATAAGCTCTTCTTTAATCTTTTCAATAAATTATAGTTTAAAATAACCAATTTCAACATGAAGTACTGATATATGCTATAACATGAATGAATGGTGAAAACATTATGCTAAGTGAAAGAAGCCAGACACAAAAGGACAAATATTGTATAATTCCATATATATGAGGTGCCTAGAACAGGCAAGTTCATAGAGATAGAAAGTAGAATAGAAGTTATCAGGGGTGGGAGAACGGGAAGGGAGAGGATAGGGAGTTATTGTTTGATAGGCACACTTTCTGTTTGGGATGATGAAAAAGTTCTAGAAATAGATAGTGGTGATGGTTTCACAACATTGTAAATGTACTTAATGCTACTGAACTGGTTAAAATGGTGTGTTTCATGTTATGTATATTTTATCACAATTTTTTAAAAATCCCATAGCCTCAAAAAAAAAAAAAAGAATTCAAACCCTGTGGAGTCAATGCTTACCAGGGTATCATCATTCTGGTCTCCAAACATTTCTTTAAAAATCTTGCCTGGATCAGGAATTGGAGGGAATATAATGATCTTGAGCCTTTAAGAAAACAGACACATTTTGGATCAAACCTTCCAGTCCATAGGAGTGTCCCACATAAATACAGCCATATTCAAAGAAGGCATGGATAAAAGACATGGTATACAATTCAACTTTAGTGACGAAGCAGTTGTGAAGAAATTTCACTGTCCAAGAGCGTCGAGTTTGGATGCAGCAAACAGGCCATCAGGATAAGCAAATTACTTATATCCTATTATTTAAATAATAGTGCTGTACTTTTAACAGACAAGATGGGAACTTGCTATTTATAATCTTGGGGAAAAAAAATCTTCTGCGAACAGGATATATTCCTCTTTAATTTTCCTTTCTTCTTTTTACTTTTCTGTTCTCCATTTTTGAATCTTATAGTATTGGTGGGCCTGCCTCATCTCCCAGGGTACGCGCATTGGTGTATCTCAGGGCCAGTCTTCTGTCCTCTGCTCTTCTGATCTCACTCACTTTACGAGTGTCCTCTTTTAGTCTTAGGGCTTTAAATCCATTTACATGAGAAGGACTACCCCAAATTATATCTCCATCCCAGACCTCTCCCTTAAACTCCAGATTCATGAGTACAATTGCCTAATTAACATCTCTACTTGAATATCTAATAGGCGTCTCAAACTTGACATGTTCAAAACAGAAGTCTTTACCTTTCCCTTAAAGCCAGCTCTCCCCACAATCTTTTCTCTCTTGATAAATAGGACCAGTATTTACTCAGCTGTTCAAGCCAAAAATCTAAGAGGTATCCTTGAATCCTTAATTTCCCTCGAACCCCCACAGACAAGACGCTATCAGCAAGTATTATCAATTCTACTTTCAAAATCTATCCCATATGTGACCACTTCTTACTACCTCTACTGCTAATCCCCTAGTATTGGCTATCCTCATCTTTATATATATACGTCTTTATATATATATATCCCACTGGAGCACAGACAGGGACTTTTTGCTCTTTATTGCTATAACCCCAGCACTTAGAGCAGTGCCTGGCACATAAATATGCACTCAAAATAGGGATGTTCAAAGAATGTTGGAATAATGACGAAGTACTGGTTCTGGACCCAGATTACTCCAACCTTAGGTATTTACTGCAAGAGTAAATAACAGTCCATATAGTGAGATAGAGAAAATAAAACATTCTCAAGGAATGAGTGCTATATAATAGTGACAACCTTGTGAAGTTCTCTGTCCTGCAGCATTAAATAGCAGCCTGCTTTGCATTAATAATAGACCAGTCATTTCATTAGTAATGTTTTCCATTTCTAAAACTTCATTCCATGAGCTACCAACTAACTGTTGATAAACTAGGCATTTGAAAGAGTAAAGTAAACATAGGCCCTATCAACAATGCCAAACACATACAAAAGAAGCAGTGCTTTCCTCACCAGAAAATGAGTGCAATAATACTTATTTGCTATGTCATACTACCAAAAGCAATTTATGGCTAAAATGCTTCTTATACACTGGGAAAGCATAAAACACCAGGACATAGCAACCAGGCTAGCAGAAACTGTAAAACCTGCCTGGGCAGCTGTCTTACCTTTTTAGGTAAAACAGAAGGACTATGATTGCACCTGCAAGAACGACTGGAATGATGAGTAACATGGTTACGTAGAATGTAGAATTGGGCATCTTACCTGGAGAATGAAAATTAAACAGAAAGGCATGAGAAATAAAGCCCTTTTAGTAATAAACCAAGCAACAATTTGTTGGCTAGTGAGATCACAGATATTTCTGCCTCCTACCCCAATCTATTTTCTAGAACTCTTCAATTATCTTATCTTCTGGTATCTTAATAGTTTAAAAAACATCCTTCTCTGGTGCCTGAAATTCCCTGGATGAGTCAATATCTTAAGGATTATCTGAAATCAGGATATCTTAACTAGTTTCAGATACTGTTAACAAAGCTGTTATATCTATTAATGTCATTTCATTAATGGTGACTATCTTTTCTTACTGGTTACTTAGCACTACTAGAACACCTAAAATAATCCTAACAACTACCACTGCTACTATTCTTAAATGAGCACCTACTATATGTCTGATACCATCCTAGGATCTTTTACATGCTTATAGCTATGCTATAAAGATAGATAGTATTATCTCCCATTTATTCAGATGAAAAGGATACGGCTCAGAGAGGTTTAGTAACTCATCCAGAAGGGTTTAGTAAATGATGGAGTCAGGTCTCAAACACAGCACTGTTCAATTCCAAAGCCTGCCTTGCTACACCTAACACACAGAATGCCTTTTGTCTACTTATATGTTCATCATTCCCACTAGGAAATGAACATCTAGAAGTCATTGTCAGGCCTAGCGCCATTGTTTTAGGCATCCTCTAAGATGACCCCAAAATGATTCCTGCCTCCTGATATTCACACCCTTGTGTAATCCCCTCCCCTTGAATGTAGGTTGGACTAATTGACTCACTTCTAAATAACAGAATAGTAGCAGTGATGGAATGTCATTTCCAAGATTAGGTTGTAAAAGAGCATGGTTTCCATACTGGGTGTTCTCTCAAACACTCTTGCTTGGATAACTCACTTGTGGAAGCCAGATTCCATGTCAGGAGGTAGCCCTGTGGGGAGGTCCAACTGGCAAGGAACTAACTAACGGAAGCCTCCATATTAGTTTCCGAGGGCTGTTGTAACAAATGACCACAAAATGGGTGGCTTAACACAATGAAATTTTTTTATTCGCTCACGGTTCTCGAGGCTAGAAGTCCAAAATCAAGGTCTCAGCAGGGCCAGACTCCCTCTGACGGCTCTAGAGAAGAATCCCTCCTTGCCTCTTCCTAGCTTCTAGTGGCTGCTAGGGGAAACCTTGGTGTTCCTTGGTTATATCTGCATCCCTCTAATCTCTGCCTCCATGTTCACATGATCTTCTTCCCTGTGTATCTGTGTGTCCTCTCCTCTTCTCATAAAGACACTAGTCATTAGACTTGGGGCCCACTCTAATCCAGTATAACTTCATCTTAACTTGACTACATCTGTAAAAAGCCTATTTCCAAATAAGGTCACATTCAAAGGTATTGGGTGTTGAGATTTGAACTTATCTTTTTGGGGAACACAATTCAACCCACCACAGCCTCCATCCAGCAACAAGTGAGAAACTGAGGCTCTCCAACGATCACATGAATGAGTCAAGCCTTTAGATGAGATTGCAGTCCTAGTTGCAGGTTGCCTGCAACCTCATGAGACCTCTAGCTATGCCATGCCTAGATTCCCAACCCACAGAAACTATGAAATGGTACATGTGTGTTGTTTTAAGCCACTAAACTTTGGGGAGCTTTGTTATGCAATAATAGATAATGAATACAACAATGCCTGGCACATAGCTTGTTCAACCTCTTAATTAATAGGGAATTGATGACCTCGACAACCCATTTCTCTGACTCTTAGATAGCTGCTTTAAAAGTTCTTAAGTTGGTTCTGTATTGCCCCCTGGAGGCACAAAAAAGAAAACCCTCTTCTACCTGACAATACCTCAAATACTAAAACATGACTCCTCAGGGTTACTTAATCAATTATTCCTTGCTAAATTTTGAGATTCTTCAACATCCTGATTACCCTTCAAGGACATATTCCAGTCTGCCAATGCATCTCCTACAACATGGTGCTCTGAAAGGAATACTGCACACTTCTCATATGGCCAGACTGCTGTGCTCCACTGTGCAGCATTTCCTTGTTCTGGGTGCTGCACTATCATTGCTGCCTAAGACTGCATATGCCTTTTAGGGATATTTAAGGTTCCAATGTTGAGTCATGTTGAGCTTACAGTCAACTAAAGCCCACCCCACAACACACACATCCATAAAGAACAGGTCTTTCCCATCCTGTACTTGAGCCTGGCTTGCTCAGCTCTTGATTAATAAATTTTTTTTCAAACCTAGATACAGGCTTATATCTATTAAATGCCATCAAGGTCACTGTTCCACTCTTGATTCTGTTAACCAGCCCATAGGACAGTTCTCTAGCATTGTGCCATTTGCAGATTTGATCAAGCCTACCTTCTATATTTTCACTCAGATTGTTAAAAAAAGATTGTGATGGGACAGAGGAGAGGATAACACCATTTGGATTGTGGTTTTCCAAAGAGCTGTATATTGTAAATTAATCCTGGATGATTTGACATAACTAAACAAAAAATCAATTTCAGTTGTAAGTACTCCTTGGCTGACATCAAGAAAACATGACAGTCTCTTTCCCTAATCTATTTTCTGCTTCAGCCTTGTTTCCATGCATCAGTGTTTCAAATTTTAATGAAATCCTTCTTTCTTACCTATACTCTTTGCTTGACTCCAATTACTCCAGAGTTTGTCATCCTCATAGCAAAATCTGTTTGTTTTGACTCTTATTCTGACAGTGTTCAAAGTATCGGGGAGAACACCAGGGATCATGAAACAAATTGTATCCTTAGATATAAAATACAAATACACCAAAATATTACCAATTTATTCTCTTTCTCTGCTATTGAATCATAATATAATTATCTGCCAAATTCTGTATATGATTAAGACTTGGATTGCAATTCAAATTATCTAATTTTTACTCTTGAAAGAAACATGGCAACAACCCACAGAACAAAGTAGTTTGTTATTCTCAGAGCAGCTCAAATTTATGATATGCCCACCCTGGCCTGCCCCCAACTGCTCTTAGTCTAAGCCCAAATAGCTAAAGTTGAATTACTGACCTCTGCATTTCTCTCAAATTCTAAATTCTCACATTTGGCCTCTTCAACCTTGAAAATAAAAAAGAATGAGTCCCAGATTTTACAAGACCACATTTTATATCATTTAACCACTTCTAGCAAGCTTTCCATTTATCCCATTAAAAGAGGACCAAGTAGAGTGAAAAAGGTTGGCTTCTTTACAAGTGGTGCTGGGTCAATTGCATATTAATGTGAGAAAAAAAGAATCTTGACCCCCACCTCACACTATTCACAAAATCAATTCCAGATATATTGCAGATCTAAGTGTGAAATATAAAATAAATGAACAAATGAATGCATAAATATATCAAGCTTTTAAATAAAAATGTAGAAGAATATCTTGCTTAAAAAAGGAAAAGTTTTCTTAAACAGGACAAAAAAAAAAAAACCCACTTTAACCATAAAGGAACATTTTTTATAAAGTCATCTGTATTATAATCAAAAACTTCTGTTCATCAAATGATACTCTATTAGGGAAATAAACAGGCAATGCATAGAGTGGGAGAGCATACCTGTAATTTCTGACAAAGTACTTGTATATATATATATATTTTTCCCCTAGAAATTAATAAGGAAAAGACAGAAAACCCAATAGCAAAACTGGCAAAGACTTGAACAGGAACTTCACAAGAGACTATGTAAACTGCCAATACACATATGAAAAACTGCTCAACCTTATTGGTTATCAGGGAAATGTAAATTAAATCCACAAGATAACAATACACACATGTACTGAACAATACCAAGAGTTGGTGAAGATGTGAAGCATCTAGAACTCTCCATTTCTGCTCAGTAGTATAAACCGGTACAACCATTTGGGAAAACTATTTTTTATTATCTACTAGAGACAATCATATGTAACTTTATTACCCACACTCATACATGCCTATATATATATGCCCAACAGAAATGTATGCACATTTGTACCAAGAGGCAAGTATGCAAATGTTCATAACAACTTTATTCATTAAACCCCAAACTGGGAACCATCCAAATGTCCATCAATGAGAGAATGGATAAATAGAGTGTGGTATGGTCACACAATGAAATGAATGCAATGAGAATGAACCATCTACAACTGCTGGGAACAATACTGGTGACGTCATAAACATAACATTAAATGAAAGAAGGCAGAAAAAGAAAAGTACATTCTGTATAATTCAATTTATACAAAGTTATTATTTATATAAATTATATAATTTATTATTATTATTTATATAACTTTATTTAAAGTAGCAACAAAATTAATCTATAGGATTAGAAGTCAAGATAATAGTTGCTCTTTGGGAGAGCAGCAACTGAAAGGGGCCATGGTGGGGCTTCTCAGGTGCTGGTTATATAGGTAAAAACGATCAATTAATGATTTCTGAAAAATCATTAAGCTGTACATTATGATTTGTGAGATTTTTCTATGGTATATTATATGTCAGTAACAAATTTTTTAAAAAAGATAGAGGGAGAGAGAGACTATATTCCCTTGTAGAGAGCATAAGATATAAAAAAAAGTGACTGGGTTAGAGGAAAGAAAGTATAATGCAAAATTCTCCTTCACACAACATAAGTCATTTGCTGTCTGATGTAAAGAGAATAATCCATCCCTTCAATGAAAATATTTTTAAATGGAGTAAAAAACAAACATATGAACATCTGTTTCACAGTTTAAATATTCAACTTATATCAAAGAGATGTTTAAACATGGAACAAAGACCAGAACACATAGCCATTATTTTTGACATTCAATGTCATTCACTAAATGGTTCCTACCAGCATTTGTGAAGAGTTGAAAGGCCAACTGAATGGTGAAAGACTATCCACTCAATATTTCATAAAGGGCAGAGAAAAAGCTACTCAGAGGGTTACTATAGCCCAGTGCTGGCAATTTGGAATCATGGGCCTACTGGGGAATCACAAGTGTCAACTACCACTTGAGGGATCAAGTTGCAGACAGATTGATGTCTCTCCTCCTCCAAATCATCTCCCAAATATATAAATTCCAAAGTCAGCAAATCATCATGTAAATTTAAGTCCGTAGGCTCTTATACAAATATAAATCCTGAGGAGCCATGGGCAGCACCCCCTGCCTGGCAGAAGGCAGGAACATGCTGAAAACACCACTTCCATGTGGGTGCCAACTACCACAGCCACTGCCACCGCAAGGCTGGCATGCCACCACAGTAGCAGCTATACCCACTGTGCAGGCAGCCTGCCACCCACTTGACTGCACTGACACAAGGAGAGTCATCAGTGGAAACCAGAAAAAGAAGAGAAAGTCTCTCTCTTCAAAGCCTACTCTCAAACAATAGAAAAAGCAAATGCTATACCAGATGACCAGACATCAATGTAGAGATACTAGAAATATGAAAAACCAAAAAATATGACACCACCAAAGGAATATAGTAATTCTCAACTACCAGACTTCATAGAGCAGGAAACTCTTAAAATGACAGTTAAAGAATTCTGAGCAACAATCCTAAGGAAACTCAATGAGATACAAGAAGAGTCAGTTAGACAACATAATGAAATGAGAAAAAATATCCAGGATATGAAGGAGGAAATTTACAAAGCAATTAATACCTCAAAAAAGAAGGTAGCACAACTCCTGGAACTCTGGGATTCACTCAACAAAATAAAAAACACAACCAAGAGCTTAAGCGGCAGGTTAGAGCAAGCAGAGGAATTTCAGATTTCAAAGACAGTCTCTTCAAAATAACCCAGGCATACAAAAATGAGGAAGAAAAAAAATTTTTAAATGAAGAAAATGTGAGAGAGCTAGTAGACAACCTTGAGCACACAAACATCTGAATTATGAGTGTTTCAGAAAGGGAGGAGAAAGGAAAAGGCACTGAAAACCCATTCAACAAAATAATAATAGGGAGAGACATGGACCTTCAGATCCAGGAGGTTCAAAGATTCCCAAACAGATCCAATCCAAAAAAATCCTCTCTTAAACACATATAGTAAAACTAGCAAAGCTCAAAGTCAAAGAGAGAATCATAAAAGAAGCAAGAGAAAGCATCAAGTCACCTATAAGAGAGTACCCATGAGACTAACAGCACACTTATCAACAGAAACCCTACAGACCAGAAGAAAATGGAATGATATATTCAAAATACTAGAAGAAACAAACTGCCAGCCAAGAATACTATAACCAGGAAGGCTATCCTTCATAAATGAGGGAGAAATAGTGTATTTCCCATACAAACAAAAACGGTGGGAGTTCACCACCACATGACCAGCCCTGCTAGAAACCCTCAAGAGAGTCCTGCATCTGGAATCTGAAAAATGATAATCAATACTGTGAATACACATGAAAGAACAAAACATGCTGGTAAAACAAAAATGCAAATGAGAAAGAGAAAGAAACTATATCTTACCACCTCAAAAAACCAACAAACATTAAAGACAAACAATAAAAGGGGAAGAAAGGAACAAAAGATATTTAAAACATGCAAACAAAAATCAATAAAATGCCAGGAGTAAGACAAAACCTTTCAATAACAACCTTAAATGTAAATAGATTAAGCTCCTTATTCAAAGGACACAGACTGACTAGCTGGATTAAAAAGCTAGGCCCAACCATATGCTGTCTTTAAAATACTCAATTCACCTTTAAAGACACACACAGACTAATAGTGAAGGGACAGAAAAAGATATAACCATGCAAATGGAAACCAAAAATAAGCAGAAGTAGCTATTCTTATATCAGATATAATAGACTTTAAACCAAAAACAATAAAAAGAGACAAAGGCCACTATATAAGGATAAAGGGATCTATCCAGCATGAAGATCCAACAATGGTAAATAATATGCACCCAACATTGGAGTACCCAGATATATAGAGCAAACATGATTAGGCCTAAAGAAAGAGATAGACCCCAATACAATAATAGTAGAGGACCTGAACACCCCTCTCTCAGCACTGGACAGATCATCTAGGAAACAAATCAACAGTGAAACACAGAGTTTAAACTACACTTTAGACCAGTTGGACCTGGCAGATAGCTACAGAACATTTCATCCAATAGTTACAGAATATACATTCTTCTCATCAGCACATTGAACATTCTCCACAATAGACCACATGTTAGGTCACAAATCAAGTCTCAACAAATTAAAAAAAAACCAAACTAAAGTCATTTCAAGTATCTTCTCAAACAACAGAAAAAACTAGACATCAATTACAAGTTAAACTCTGGAAACTATACAAATAGATGGAAATTAAACAACATGCTCTTGAATGACCTCTGGGTCCAAGATGAAATTAAACAGGAAATCAAAGAAATTCTTGAAACTAATGAAAATAAAGATACATCATATCAAAACCTGTGGGATACTACAAAAGCAGTACTAATAGAAAAGTTTATTGCAATAAACACTTCAAAAGAATAGAAAGAGCTCAAATAAACAACCTAATGCTACACTTCAAAGAACTAGAAAAAGAAGAACAATCCAGTCCCAAAATTAGTAGATGGAAAGGAATAGTTAAGATTAGAGCACAATTAAATGAAATAGAGATCCAAAAAATTGATACAAAAGATCAATGAATCAAAAAGTTGGTTTTTGGAGAAGATAAACAAAATAGAAAAACCATTAGCTAGGCTAACTAAAAAAAGAAGAGAGAAGATGCAAATAACAAAAATCAGAAATGAAAGAGGAGACATTATAACTGATACCACAGAAATACAAAGAATCAATCATTAGAGACTATTATAAACAACTATATACCATCAAATTTGAAAACCTGGAAGAAACGGATAACTTTTTGGATACATACAAACTACCAAGACTAAACCAAAAGAAATAGAAAATCTGAACAAAACAATAACAAGCAAAGAGATTGAAGCAGTAATCAGCAAAGAAAAGCCCAGGACAAGATAGCTTTACTGCTGAAATCTACCAAACTTTTAAAGAGGAATTAATATGAATTCTCTTCAAACTATTCCAAAAAACTGAAACAGAGGCCATTCTCCCAAACTCATTCTATGTGTCCAGCATCACCCTGATACCAAAACCAGACAAAGATACAACAAAAAAAGAAAACTACAGACCAATATCTCTGATAAACATAGATGCAAAAATTCTCAACAACATATTAGCAATGAGAATACAGCAACACATCCAAAAAATTATACACCATGATCAAGTGGGATTCATACCAGGGATACAAGGATGGTTCAACATATGCAAATCAATAAATGTGATACATCACATCAACAAAAACCAAATAAAAACTAGACGATTATCTCAATAGACACAGAAAAAGCATTTGACAAAATTTAACATCAGTTCATGATAAAGACTCTCAGCAAATTACTTGCAGAAGGGGAGTATCTCCATACCATAAAAGCCATATATGACAAACCCACCACCAATATCATCCTGATATTGAACAGGAATAAGACTAGGATGCCCATTCTTACCACTCTTATTTAACATAGTTTTAGAAGTACTAGCTAGAGCAATCAGGGAAGAGAAAGAAATAAAGCGTAACAAGATTGGAAAAGAAAAAGTCAAACTGTCACTGTTTGCAGATGACACGATCACATATATCGAAAAACCTAAAGACTCTACCAAAAAACTCTTAAACCTGATAAAAAAATTTCAGTAAAGTTGCAGGATACAAAATCAACACACAAAAATCAGTAGCATTTTTATGCTCCAACAACAAACTAGCAGAAAGAAATCAAGAAAGCTAGCCCATTTACAATAGTCACCAGAAAAATAAAATACCTAGGAATAAAGTTAACCAAGGATGCAAAAGATCTCTACAATGAGAACTACAAAACACTGTTGAAAGAAATTAAGGAGGACACAAGAAGATGGAAAGATATTTCATGCTCTTGGATTGGAAGAATTAACATTATGAAAATGCCCGTACTACCCAAAGTAATCTACAGATTCAATGCAATTCCCATCAAAACACCAATGACATTCTTAACAGAAACAGAAAAAACAATCCTAAATTCATATGGAACAACAAAAGACCCCGAATAGCCAAAGAAATCCTGAGCAAAAAAATAAAGCTAGAGTCATTATACTACCTGACTTCAAGTTCTACTACAAAGCTTTAGTAACCAAAACAGCATGGTACTGGCATAAAAACAGACACTCAGACAAATGGAATAGAATGGAGAACCCAGAAATCAATCCACATACTTACAGCCAACTGATATTTGACATGGACAACAGGAGCATACGTTGGCAAAAGGACGGCTTCTGCAATAAGTGGTGCTGGGAAAACTGGGCATCCATATGTAGAAGAATCAAACTAGACCTATACCTCTCGCCATATACCAAAATCAACTTGAAATGCATTAAAGACTTATATATAAGACCCCAAATTATAAAACTCCTAACAGAAAACATAGGGAAAACACTTCAGGAAGCAGGATGGGGCAAAGACTTTATGAACAAGACCCCTAAAGCACAGGCAACAAAAGAAAAAATAAGCAAATGGGATTATATCAAACTAAGAAGCTTCTGCACAGCAAAAGAAACAAGAGTGAAAAGACAACGTACAGAGTGGGAGAAAATATTTGCAAACGATGCACCCAACAAGGGATTAATATCCAGAATATATAAGGAACTCAAACAACTTAACAGTAAAAAAAAACAAGTACCCATTAAAAATAGGCAAAGGAGCCGAATAGGCATTTCTCAAAGGAAGATATAGAAATGGCAACAGACACATGAGAAAAATGCTCAACATCACTAGGCATCAGAGAGATACAAATCAAAACCACACTGAGATATCACATCACCCCAGTTAAACTGGCCATTATCAAAAAGACAGAGAATAACAAATGCTGGCAAGGATGTAGGGAAAGGGGAACCCTTCTACACTGTTGGTAGAACTGTAAATTAGTGCAGCCATTATGGAAAACAGTATGGAGGCTCCTCAAACAACTGCAGATTGAACTGCCATATGATCCAGCAATCCTGAATGGAGAAATTCATAAAAAAATAGAAATAACCAAGAAACATAAAACAATGCTCAATTTTAATAATAACTAGGCTGACACAGTTAAAACACAGAAATATTTTATTTTACTGCATGTACTTCTATATTATTTGGTTTTTTGATGAAAAATTATTGTTGTATTACTTATGTAAATAAAAAAATTAAATAAAAAAACAAATGTAAATCCCCTCGAATAATTTATCATTTACTCAGATAGTTCCAAGAGAAGGAAAACAAGGGCCTGGAGCACAAGTAGATTGTTTGCAGGGTTACCAGGTGGTCAAAAACAAGCCTTTCCTTACTTCATGATTCTGTCATGAACTACCTCTGACCACAGTCCCCATGTGATGGTATCAGTTCATGTTCCAGATTACTTCCCCCTCTTAACTGTCACACTAGGCAAAATAATTCCTCAAATAGTCTTGTAAAAAAAAAACACAGGGTCTGACCAGCAGAGCTCAAAATCAGTGAGCACACAAAAATCTGATGACATTCTAGGGGAGGAAGCAGCTGATGAACATCTGCTAAGAAAGAGAACATTAAACTCAACTGTATAAACAGAATTAATTCTGAATAGACTATAGTTATAATTTAGGTAGATAACTTCCATAGTGTATGTGCTCTCTTCAGTTCAGAAGTTTACAAAAAATAAACAAGTACCTCAATTCAACAAGAATTTATTAAATGATGATTATGCATGTGGTGTCATACCAAGTATTCTTGGTCAAAGTTTAATACCTGGAGACCAACCAATTTTTGAAGTCATACTTATTAGCAATGTGGCCTATAGCAAGTTACTTAACCTCTCTGAGCCTTAGTTTTTCAATAAAATGTAGGTTAAAATAGTGCCTATTTCCTGGGTTCTTATGAGCTACTGTTTAAGAAACACGAAGAGTACCTTTGAAGAACATTATAAACACTATTACTATTAAGCAGAAGTATTGATGTGGTCTCCAGTGGTTAAGAATACAAGCTTTGGAGTTAGAAGTTTGCTTAAATCTTAATTCTACTACTTACTAAAATGTAGCTTTAGGAGTAAGTAAGTTTTTTCATTTGTAAAGTGAGAACAAAATAACAGGACCTAGATCCTTAGGGTCACTGTAAGAACTAAATAAGACAACTCAGATATAGTGCTTATTATAATACCTAGCACATAGTAATCACTCATACGTGTTAGCTGCTATTAGTAGCAGAAATAGCACTAACTAGACATCACCTGACTCCTTTCTACAGGAGTTTATATTTTCAGTGAAGAGAAAAGTCAGACACATGATCAGGTTAAATAGGACATAAAATGTGTTGCAAAATAAGTAATACAAGTAGTATGTGTCCCAGGATTTCAGACAGAAGAGAACAGTAAAGGCTAGAGTAATCAACTATACTTCGGCTTCTATTAGTAAGCATTTTGTTTTGTTTTGGGTTTTTTTTTTTTTTTTTGGCAGCTGGCCTGTATAAGGATCAAACCCTGGGCCTTGGTGTTATCAGTACCATGCTTTAACCAACTGAGCTAACCAGCCAGCCCTTAATAAGCATTTTGAAAGTTCCATGATGAGCTAGAACAACTGGACCAAGGAATTTGTCCACATGCAAGATGCTGGGCTCCTTTAAAAGCCAATATAAAAACACTTGGCTTCTAACCTCTAAAACTCAAATACACAAAGGGCCCAGGCAGGTAACACACAAGTGAGTGCTGCAGTCTCTGTGGTCTTATGGAAATATACTTCTAGGGTACCATGATTTTTTAAATCTGGGCAAAAAATTCAAATTTAATAAGCAAAGAAACAAACAAAACCTCACTTTGTGGTCCAAATAAAAATGTATGAGACCCTAGTTTGTGACCTCTACTCCACATTTTAACAGTGTTATTAATGCCCTGAGGTTATACCACATTCTGATCAATGCCCCACAGGGACCTCTAGCATGTTTTACATTAGATTCTGAATAACATAAATGTACATAATCCAACAAATACTGACTACTCAAATTTGACTACTTTAGTTGCCAGAAACTCCAAGAAAACTGAACGGCCTTATCAGAGCCTCAAAGTATCTACATAATCAGGTCTCTGCCTACTGCTTAGATATCTTTTCCTACTATAATTGGCCACACCAGCCTCCCTTCTGTTTCCTCACACATGCCAACCTCATTCTTGCCTCTGTGTCATTGTATTTGCTATTTCTTATACCCCCGATCTTCAGCTGGCTAACTCCTCCTGCTCATCCTTCTTGTCTCATTCCTTCAGATGACTTCCCTACCTAATATTCTCAGGCTCTCCCAGTCGCTCTACTATATCACCCCATTATTTTCTTCATAGCACATATGCTCTGAAATTAGCTTGCTCATTTACGTACTTATTTTCTAGTATGTAAGCTTTATGGAAAAAAAAAAAGAAAGAAAAAACTTATTCATCAGGTGTCACGTTCACAGCCTTATCTCCAGCACCATAAAACAGTGCCCGGCACATGGTAGACACTTAATAAAAATTTGTTGAGCCGATGAGTTAATGAATAGCTTGAACCTTGCAGCCAATACTACAATAAACCTGAAAACCTTCCACCATGCCCTACTTCAGACAAGAAGTTTTATTATCATCTTAAAGTGATAAACGTAAGAGCTACATATCCTTGATATTTCAGTGTAAGAAATTCAAATGAGAGAGAAATATCAAAATAAAACAACAATTTTTTAAAAACTTACATAGAAAATAACAGGTGTCTCAGTTTGGCTGTTATTGAATTCTACTTCATAATATAAACATCTGCTAAAAAAATTCTGTGGATTCTCCCATTGTACATATAAGTTACCATTTTGAAAGAAGAGATTTTTAATATGTGGAGGACCAGGTTTCACTGAAAGATAGAAACACAAGAAAACGAATTAGCTTCCAAAGTTTATTTGATTATATAGTACACACACACGTGTACACACACACACACACACACACACACACACACACACGTAGGAATAATGAAGGTTCCTAAAGTTAAATCAAAACAGGGCTGTTGTTTTTAATGATCTTACATGATCAGATACACAGTTTTAGAACTGCTGATTAGTCAAAATTATACAGGAAGTTTATTTTAAACTGCCTAGTAAAATGAATTTAAGGAATGTCCTTGGGGTGCCTGTCAGATGACATGAACTCTGACCTGCATCTGGTTAGAATATGGCCAGGGTATAATCAGGATATGTAGCTACGACAGAGAAAATAAAGAAAAGAAATGCTTGGGTCCAGATGAGCTTCCACCAGATGGGTAACAAGGCAACCAGATACAAGGGGCTTCCCTAGCTGTCACTCACTCATGGCAATCAAAAACCACAATTAAAACATTAGCCTAGTCTCTGTCACATGCTACTACAGGGATATACCTCGAGGACATCATGCTCAGTAAAACAAGCCAGTCACAAAAGGACAAATACTATATGATTCCACTCATATGAGGTATCTAAAGTAGTCAAATTTATAGAAACAGAAAGTAGAAAGGTAGTTGCCAAGGGCTGGGGAAAGGGGGAATTAATGTTTAATGGGCATGGGGTTTCAGTTTTCCAGGTTGAATCAGTTCTAGAGATCTGCTGCACAACAATGTGAACGTACTTAACACTACTCAACTGTACACTTAAAAATATTTATGATGGTAAATTTAATGTTATGTGATTGTAATCACAATCAAGAATAATTTTTTTCTTTTTTTCTTTTTCCTTTTTGTCTTTTTTCGTGACCGGTAACGGGATCGCAACCCTCAGTGTCGCGCGCCCATACCGCGACCGGCAACGGGATCGCAACCCTCGGTGTCGTGCCCTCACCGCGCTCAACCAGTGAGCGGACCGTCTGTATATGGGATCCAATCCCTCGTCGGGAGTGCAGCCGTGCTCCAAAGTGCCGCACTCTACCGAGTGTGCAACCGGGCCGGCCCTTTTTCTTTTTTTTTTAAAGAGCATTTAGCCTGGTCAATTTCCTATTTAGGAGTCCGCTATGCTTAAGACCGAGCAACAGAAGATAATGGATAATTAACAGAAAACAATTCAAAGATGTCGTCTTCCAGCTGAGAAGGGTCTTCGTTTATGTCACCATTAATATCCAGGAAGAAAAGCAGCAAAATAAGCCTTAGAAGGTCCATCTAGATAATCTGCCAAACAACAGGGAGGAAAGAGAAGGGCTTTGCCTCAGCTTATGCCACCTGGCCAATTACCCTGACCTTGCTCCCTTGGCCTATAAACTAAGCTGTCTTTGATTCCCTATTAGGATTCACTTCCATGACTATCTGAAGGGGTGGTAAATAGTATTGTGCTCACAGACTTAGAGGTCTTTGTCAATTGATGGCTATTTGCCTATAAATCATCTGTACACCACTTAGCCAGAATGTGAGCTCCCCATTGGGACATTACAACAAATAAACCATTATGCTTTAGAGATTTACAAAACACTTTTATACACCTTATATCATTTGTACCTTGTGACAATTCTTTGAGGTCAAGAGGGACTATGTACTCCGTTTTACAGATAAGGAAAACTTGAAGAGGGTTTATATGCCTTTCTAGAGTAGAGAAGCCAGGACCTCAACCTTGAACCTGTGTTCAAGTTGAAGGCTCTTTCTAATAGGCCACGCCCACCTGGTATGCCCAGCTATGGCTGTACTGGTTGTTCTGGCTGAACAGTGTGCCGCACACAGCGTTAAACATTTTGAATATCATCTCTGATTACACCACCTTCAATTGAAGCTAAGAGAAAGACTATCCAGGAAGTGTATATGATTATATGAGCATCATCTTCTCAATACCATAAGCGAAAAGAGAGCAGATCTTAGAGTCAGGCAGCCCGGGTTCTAATCTTGGTTCTATAAGCAACTGCTCTAAATCTCAGCCTACTCCTAAGTAAATAAGGATTTTTAATCACACATGCTCAATAAATATCAGAACTTCAAAGCTTGCTTCTTTAAAAAAGATCTATAACAGAAAGGTATACATAAATACAGTCCCTTGTTTTGGGAAGATCTTAAGACCCAAATCCTCATTTTTTATTATTTGTACTGATTGTTCAAAAGACAAAAAACACTTTTATCCACACCATCATAGAGGACTTCTAAAACTTACCATGGGAAGTTAAAGGCACTATATTGAAGAATGGTCTAATTTTTCCTGCAATATCTTTGACCATTATTTGGACATTGTGTTCAAAAAGGTAATCCTTCGCTATAGTCAGATCAAAGGAACAACCAATGTGTTGACCTTCTCTATAGATGTTTTCACATTGAAGAATTTTTCCCAGGCTGTTGTGCCTACAAGATAAAATGAGACAACCTTCTGCATTATTTTTAACAAGGTATTCAAAAAACAAGGGTGGAATTTTTTTTTCTTTTTAATGACTGAAGATGTCCATGAAAAGCAATATTTGCAATAAGGCAAAATAGCTTTTTAAAAACCCTATTTACAGTGTGCTTCATTTCATACTCTAGGAAGAAAAGACTGTTCCTTTTTGCTGAACATTGGTGTTGTCAATAGCTATGAAAACTACAGGAGTCCTATTTCCGCTTCTGTGTAGGAGAGGATGTTCTGAGGCCATGATTAGAAGTTTTATGCTTTTTGAAAATGCCTGTGTGCTGAATTCCATGGTTCCCCTCTGGTCCCTCTGCCTGCTCCCTCCTTGTTTTCTTGGCTTGTTCCTCTTTCTCCTCCCTCTTCCTGGGGGGGGGGGGGGGTCCCCCCCCCCTCTTTCCTTTTTTTGTGCCCCTCACCCCCCCCCCCCCCCC